TATTATTATTATTATTATTATTTATTATTATTTATTATTATTATTATTATTATTATTATTATTATTATTATTATTATTATTATTATTATTATTATTATTTATTATTATTATTATTTATTATTATAATAATAATAATTAGTAATAATAATTAACAACAATGATTAATAACAATAATTGATAATAATAATTAGTAAATAATAATTAATAATAATAATAGTAATAAGTAATAATATATGGATATATAATATATGTATAGTTTTGAACCAGCGCTAGCTCAGAGTGGGACGGAAGAAATAATGAACGATATGCCAATGATGATTTGGTATCACCTGGCATCTGACATCAACAAGCAAGCTGCTCAGTTCGACTTTGATTACAAATGGAAATCAAGTTTGTTTTCCTATTAAAGTTAAATAAAATGTTAGTGATCTGAAGACTCCAATCTGTTACGTAAAAGATTGCCCATTTTTCTTTTTTTTTCATTTCAAAGAATTTGTAATCATTATTCTCCATCTACAAAATATTTGGTTCGTTTACATTGAAAAATTAGATTATTAGTTTTATTTTTACGTAACAAATGATTTGACTAAGTAGTAATCAAAAATGCGCAGTGATGTTCAAATTTTAAGTGTTCCTAGATTTAAATTTAGAATTCTCTTATTATATTTTTACTCAGTATGTGAATGTGGGTGTTTGGAACTGGAAGCAAAGAAAGGTTTATGGAAGCAGCTCACATCACCGGACTACCCTAGTCATTATTGTAATTTGATGAAATGCCAATATCTAATAACCGCACCACAAGGATACATTGTTATTGCAAATATTACTGAAGTAGCTCTGGAGCCAAACGAAGATGTGCTGGCTATTTTCGACGGAAGTAATATAACCGATAGACGAATTAAAATGTTTGTTCCATTCTTCCTTTTCTTGTTCTTTTGGAATCAGTGATTCAAAAAATAATTGGAGGACGTTCAACTGTATTTACATTCAGAAATTGTCAAAGTGTACTCACACCTATCAATTTTATAATTCTTTGCTGGACTTAATAAATCTGTGTGCACTGAAATAGCCAAAATATCGAATCACGTTCGCATGATAAATTAATTTTGCAGTACCAGTGGAGTTGAAATTTTCACAGATTTATTAAGAAGCACTACTGAAACGATGACTGTTTACTTTGAAACTGATATCAGTATTACCAACAAAGGATTCGTCTTATACTACACTGCTGGTTTTCTTTTATTTCATCATCATTTCCCAGTACTAAATGTAAGAGGTGACGCAAAAGTTTAGCAGACTTTCGTGAAATTTTTTTTCTTTTCACATACAGGGCGCAAAAAATTCTCCAGTCGTTCTGAAAAACACTTCAATGCAAACAAAGGATTAGTTAACAGAAATATAATTAGATCAAATCCAAACAGACTAACAGTCAAGTCTTTCTTCCGTATTAAGACAACGTCTTTCCACACCGTTCCTAAGATGACAGGTGGAAGAGTACTTCACAATCATTTCTGGCTCAAATCGCGATTCCGAAAAAGTGCTATTTTACAGAAGAGGCATCAATAAATGACAGAAGCAACGTTCCTGACAAATTGGAAAGTTCCAAGCATTTGGGCATCATTTTCTGCACTTTACTTTTTCTAGTTACTGGCATTATATTTAGTTTAATTTATTACAAACAGCTGTTATGTTTCGCAAGCCGAAGAGGTCGCTGGTATAGTACTTCCGTAGTTGGATTTACCAACTTGTCACATGAAAATGGCTCGTAAGTTGTAAACAGTTTCATGCCTCTGTTATAATAATAGTCTGTAATAACTGTTCACAACAGATTATAGAAAATATCTTTACATCTACTTTATTCAGATCTTTAAAATATCTTTAAATATAGACTTTGCTTTTATGTTTCAGTGAAGAGACATCATCAAACAATTGGATATTTCAATGAAATGGAACATCCACAAAGTGTCAGCAGCACTTCTTTTCCGTGGTCAGATTCGATTAAATTATGAACTTTTTAATGAATGGAAGAGGAAGAGGGAGAAATGATTTCGCATTAAGGAACTAAACTTGACTTTCAACATTAAGCAATCTAGCATCTTGGATCTAGCAATCAAGTTGTAAAAATCTTTAGTTTGAAAAACAGGTAATGAATCCTTATTCAGAAGCAATCTCGTCTTGAAACACATTTTTACGTAAACAAATGTTGAATTTAATGAATTTTATTTTGCTACAGCTATTGATTTTCTTTTGAGAGTAAATATTGCCGTGTTATATCGTCAGCTTCCAGCAAACGGAAGTTCCACCGATAAATTTTCAGAGTAGAACCAATTTTATACTTATCCATGCTGCAGATATTGCAATCACTTGTATGCCTGATATTATCTTAAACTGGGTTTTAGATCTATTCAGATCAATCTATAATGCCATATTTCAATAATAGGCATCCGTCCACAACAGCATCAAAGTACGTAGCAGCAACTTGAAACTAATTAACTAATAAAAATGAAACATGGTGAACAGCAAAAAAGAAAAGTTGTAAGATTTAGACGAGATTTTAAATATATGAATTCAAACAAAAATTACAAAACCAACCCATATCTGCTACAGTTGATGCCTTTGAGGAACGTTCGTCCAAGGCACCATTTTGGACCTTTTACAGCTTCAGCAATGTCCAGTTTTTCTTTACTGACATGAAATGTTACCAAAAATTTTATGTCTTCGAATAATCCTTTTCCTCCCTCCTGAAAGAATTCTGATTTGTTTGGAAATTCAACAAGTTTTGAAGTCTAATTTTGTTTAAAATACATTTTACGTTTTTAATGAGCTGGACTTTTAAACTTATCGTAGACAGCATGAAAAGAATGTAGGAATTAAATAAAGCCGTTTAATATAGAATTCTAAGAATATATTAAAATTAAAAGTTACCATTACAGCGATGAACTTCATTTGTGGTGGTATGTTTCCACTTCCTTCCGATGGTGGTCCATCCATAAGAGCCTGAAGTTTAGTTCAGCTTAGTTTGGTTTTGTTCAAAAACCTTGATTCTCAATTCTCAGTTCATTGGCTGCGATGGGAACTCATTTCTAAGCTCATCATATATCAAGCAATATGAATGAGTTTCTTCGCGAACTTGGCGAACTCACTTTTTCATAATCTTCAAAATCAATGGGTCCAAAACGTTTCAGGAAATTGCGCGTTTCTGGACCTTCACAACTGAAAATAAACATTGGCCTGGTGTAAACTTCAACCCATAACCCAGGACGCATCTCATTACTACGGTAGAACTGTCGAACGTCTGGAAATAACGGAAGAGTTTATCAAGGGAAGTCTGAAAGTTTTTCGAGAAACTGTCCATTCCTGTAAAAGCCGGACACCTTTTTTGATGAAAGGAAGTTTGTTCCTTTTGAGGAAAAGTTGCTTCCTGAATCCACGAGTGCTCTCCACTAACGCAACAGTATCATCGATTGTATGCACTATCATATGAAATGTCCGGACGGAAGTATCATCTAACCAACAAGCTAACAAGTGCAACTTCGCTGGCGCATCCGAATAGTCCACCTTCTGAATTATAGCAGATTTGTTTTGCTGATAGGGAGAAATAAAAACAAGCATATGTGAGAACAATCTATACTAAAAGTCCAAAATCGGTTTGAATCAATAAGTCTTAGATTGGTCGATCTCGCATGTCAATATCAAACAGGCAAGTGAACAAAATAGTAAGGTGGTATTTCGAAGCTGCCTCCAAGCCTTTTCTAGCATTTATGGAAGGTCGGGCCACCTCTTGATTCCATTCGAATTTTTCCTCTCGGCTTTCTTTGTTTTCAAGTGAAAATTTTTGTTGCTCTTCGCTCTGAATCCATGGGTCCATCGGGATTTCCTCTTCTTCATTAACTACAATCCCCTTTTTTGTTAGAAAATCCTAAAAAAGACATGAAATGAAATACGAATTTCCAGCATTTCTGCCCGGAATAATTTGATATGACAACAATTCAACTCTTCATAGAAAAACATTAATGAACCCTGGTGTGATGATCGCAGGCAGTAATTCTGTATGTTTTTGAAAACAGATGGATATCCTTTGCGACATTTAAATCTGACCAATGCAAATAGTTTTGATCATAATTTCGATCTAATTTCGGTACTCTCTGATGAGTAAAAGTGCGATCCTGAAATAAAGAATAGACGCTACCAGTTAAAACAGTTCAATTCTTCCAATAGAAATTATTATGGAAAAACATGTATCGATTAAGAGCATGTATGTCAATCATAACGACAAATAATGAGATATATAATGAAAACAGAGAGGGTAAACAGTTCGATCTAAAGGTTACTTTTTAGAAAATCCGGTTAATTAATTAATTAGGAATAAGCACAAATAACGCGGGAAAAAAAGCTGAAGCAAATATGAACGAAAACAAAAATGGAATATGTGCTTTAATAAGAAATACTGTGTGATCGTTCAAATTGACTACTTGTTGGCTTTTATGAAATACAGTGCTATATTGAATATAAAGTAGAATCATTACCTGCAAAATGCTATTATTTGGAACATGTGGTTCAATGAGAGATATCGTATGATCGTTGAGGTGATAAAGTAGTTTCATTGGTTGTATGTGATGCAACTGATGATGAAAGTACGTTTCAGTGTCCGGTTCAAACGAATAACATTCAAACGACAAAACATCCGTTCTGTCACCCTCCATCTGTAGGCAGTCTATGAATAGTGAGCCACACCTAATATACCAAAGCGGCTAAAGATCAATTAGTAATTAATAAATAGTTGTAGGAAATGATACAATAAGTGATTGTTTGGAAAAATAAGCATTAGTTAAGCGTCTTGGCTCTTTTGAATAAAAGACAAGGAAAGGAAGCTATGATATCTGGATTCCTTATTATTCGAACATCAAGTTATTTCATATGGAATACTCAAGAAATATTACAAAAAGTGGTGAGAATCATGATAAACAAAGTTGCGGATTAATTTCAACTTAAATTAGTAAACAATAAGTAAGTAACAGTTTATCAGTGATTAGCATTGCATAAAATTTACATAAGTGGGTAAGCGAATTATCTATACAAATGGGTAAGCGGAAAAGTGTAGAAGTATACTTGAGAGAAGTTTCGTCGCTTGTAAAATGTCGTTCTATTAGCTTCTCTTCATCATCTTGATTGCCCTTTTCCGCATTCATTATTCGTGGCACCAACAGCGATGGTTTTTTGTACTTGAAGTCGGAATTTGTATTCAGCCCGGAATAAAAGTAATATTCAGATCAAAAAGTCCTCTCAATCTAAGTTGTACTAAAAACTTGATATGTCAAGAAGTTGCTGTAACTTCCCCATCCCCAAACATGCCAAACGACATATTTAATAGTGATAGTGAATAGTTGATTCAAAATTGCCCAGTACCAGTTTGAATTTTTTTTCCCTTCAATTCTAACATTATATATATATATAGTATTTTTGAGTTATTAACAGATAATAGCGACCATTTTTATGACATTCGTTATGTCTATCCCACAACTAAATATAAATCCTACAGAGTGCGATGTTTGTTGAACTTGTTAAATTAAAGGAGGGAGAGGCCATTCAAAAAGGCCTGTGATCGATGAAAAAAGCACAGTTGTATGCATGTAATTTATGGTAACCGAGCAAAGCAACCTCCCACTCTTGGCAATGGACTTCCGATTTGTGAATATTCAGCTCTTTCTGTTCGAAATCATCGTTCTCTCTTTGCTATTTTTCCAAATGAAATTATTGTCTGCTATAAACAGCTAGAATAATGACAGCCATTACGATTTCAAGAATCTGAAATTTAAGGGTTCCGGTCCCTTGTTAACGGGGAATTGAGACTGTCTTTGAAGCAAGGTTCCAACTGAGGACTGGAAAAATGGTAGTTTTAGGGAATTTTTGGAAACCTTGTTCAGAAGACCTTGGGAATTTTAAGAGAAATTTAGAAAATTCTGCAAACTAAGAAATTCATATAATACACATCCTTCGAAATTTTCTCGAATGGTAAAAAATTAAAATCTATCCAGAGGTTGGGGAGGCTATGTGGGAGAGGTTTCTTTGGCTCTCTTCATATTAGTGGAATTTTTAGAATCCACAAAAAAAATTTCCAGTTTTCCTAATCACAAAAAAAACCGCGCATAATGTTTGAGTCACCAGTTACCAAGGCTCGGTAAACTGAAAGTAAAACAAGTTTTACTTTGACTGAGGAAAACTTTTACAAATAAAATTTTTCTTCCAAAGAAGTAAAACCTTTTTCCAATTCTGGAAACTTGCAAAACCCGAAAATTTTATGTCTACCTAGCCTAATATACCAACAACAAGTCTTGTCAGCCATGAACACTGTTCTAAAAAAGTGAAACTTTTCGAACAACGAAAAATATCCTTTATTCACATTCCATACGCTTCCACTTTTCAAATCTTTTGTCTGATTCTGAAGTAACTCTGCAAATCCAACGATCACTGGAGGTAACTGATGTCGGGATAGGTAACCACAGTAGCTCACGTTTAAAATTATCTCAACGACATATATTTGAATCCACCAACTGCTAAGCATTAAGAAATGAGATAAAAAATAAATCTCGATAAACAGTGAGCTGTCCAACAATAAATAAATATCATATTTGGAAATGAAACTTTCACTAACAATCTATAACAGTGGTTCCCAACCTTTTCTTAGACTAGGGACCACTTTGACTTTTTATTTGCAACAGGAATGAAAAGTCTCAGAAAAATAAATTGTCAATTTGAAAATGACTCCAATCAAAAGTTTTAATATATTAGTTAAACACAGAATAACACTGTATAAAAAAAAGTCTATAAAAAAAGGAGGCACACAATTTTTGATGGTGGTGGACCACCGGTTGAGAACCACTAATCTACAAAATAATCTAGGGGAGTTTATCCTGACTGCACATCAACCGATGCTATTGCTATGAATTCAATGCCTGGCTGTTAATTACTAATTTAACGAATAATTTCTTTTTCATATGGCAGAAGTTAAAGATTTGATTTTTTTTCCCTTTTCAGTAACGTCAACCATAAACATTGGAATTACTTTAACTCACACGTGAAAATACGTGATGCCAACAGTAGATAAAATATCGCACAGCAAAGGCAATTCCAAAAATTCAGGTTTTTCTTTGATAGCTTTTAATTAATTTCGTGCCGAAACTTAATCAACATATCCTTCAAGTGTGCAATTCACCGGTAAAAACGAACACTAAGTATCACAATCACCATTCACTTAATCATCAAGGAACTGTGACCTTCGATCGCAACTGCTTCGAATATTAGCTCCGTGGTACTGAGTTATCAAAGCTTATTGAAAACGTTGCTATAAAGCGCAACAGTCAATAAGTACTAGACCAAACAGGTGCAAGGAAACAAACTGTAATATAAAATAAATGAAGTTGTTTGAGGATTCCTTCATTGAAAGTCTATTTCCATGATGGATTTACAATGTTTCACAACATTTACAGAAAATTCACATTCTGCAACCAGTTCCGAGATACAAATCTACCTTAAATAATCGATCTTTGCTACTCATAAGAAAAACGTAGATTCAAAAATGATATTTCGAGAAAAAAAATGCTATCATGTGAACAAAACACGTAGAAGAATATTGCTATTACTCTCAAATCTTCAAAATATGTACAGCAATTAACAAAACAACAACTGTTGAGATTACTGAATTCATATGAACTTTTGTGATGCAAAGAGCCAGGTTTCTAGATACTCCAAAAACTAAACTCGAAATGACTTAATCCAAGAAGTCATAGAGACTTAAAGAATAAATGCTAACATGGACAGGACTTTCTATGACTGTATTTTACTTCTTGCATATTCTACAAATTCATCAATCAAAACGGGCCATGCTCCTTCTGCATCGTAATTGTTGAAATCCGGTGCGATCATCAAAGAAAAATCCAACAGTAAGTTCCACGTATCACGTGGTATGCTTTTTACCTCCTGTATAGAAGTAGGGTGATTTACATACTTTGTCATTCGAAAAATAAAAAGCAAATTGTCTTCCAAGGTAAACACCACGGTAGAAAGCCCATTTTGTCACAATTTCATGTTCAGCTGACGACAGGCACCAGTTCCTACTTATGATCTATTATCAGATATAGCAAAATAATTTTAGTCCATTCCAAGCCTAAAAATTCCAAACTAGAACCAGAATAAGAAGCAAACCTTTTCCCGTAGGAAACTAGTCCATAAAGGAAGATAACCGAAGTTGCCGCCAAACACAATTTCCCAATAAGCAATTGCTGTTTCCACTTCTAGGATAAAGAAAAATTAGTGGACAGCACAAGTCTTCCACAGCACCACATCTGTTCTACTATTATCAGTGTCGAAATTAATTTCAATTGTTTGGCAGGACTAACGACGCGTAAAGATGAATTCAAAAACTTCGCTTTGATTTAAGATGAAACATAATGCTTTAGGCTTATATAAAGTTTACCGTTAATAAAATGGAATTACTGCAAATTAAGAGTAATTCATTCATCAACATTTTATAGGCTTACCCAATGTCCTCTGCGGGGATGCGCGAGCGTAATTGAAAGTAAACTGATAAAAATCTCGGAAAATGATAGGATTCCTGAGTTCCTCGCTTAGTGTTGGTATTTTTGCTTTTAATTTCTCCAAAGAATCTACTCTGAAAGATATGGGCTACCATATGCAAAAAAGTAAAATTACTTGAAATCAGTTTGTAAAACTACCTAACCGGCAAAAAAAAGTTTTTTCAGGTTTCAACTAGCATTCCTAGCTTAAACATCATTAAACCATCTAAAGGACACTGACTGATAATAATTTACTTTTTCGTAGCTTCCGCAAAGAACTAAGTCACTTTCATCATTTCGTGTAATCCCGTTAATTGTGAATAAAATCCCATAAAACAAGCATTCGTCATGTCAAAATTCAGTATAAGTTGCGGAATTAAGCACTGACTCCTTATTCTTTTCTGTTACCAAACAGATTAATATCAAGGGTAAATAATGAATCCATGATCGGAAATTACTCATGAATTATTTACAACTTATTACGAATTGAATCCATAATGTTAAGGAAGACACAAAAGTTTTACAATCAATGCAAATACTTCATCTCGTTGAGACCGGTACTGAATTCCTCCCAAGTAAACTCGCACTGCGTCTTTGCTTTGAGCTTCCATGCTAATATCAACACATTTCGATCAGCTGGATTTAAACCAAGATCTGTCAGGAAGCGCAGCATACCATGCGGCCCGATACATGAGGGATCATTGTCCTGTCTATCTGCAAATTAACCAGTAAATTTAAGAAATAAGGATATACAAATCTACGAATTATTCCGTTACGTAGATTCAATCTTTAAACGCTCTTAAAATCAAACTAATTATCATGGTAGTATGACGGAAGCTGGCATGATTTAAAACTCCTAATTTTATGATGGGATTACTAATTATATCCAAAATATCCGTAGCTTCGGTAAGCAGAAATGAATCAAAAAAGTACTATTTGCATATTTGAGGAAAAAAGCATGAAGACTTCTTTGGTCAACTATATCTGCCATACACATATACAATTGTGGATTCTGATAATAAGCATCGCAGGCCAATTCCAGATTCCAGTTCTGACTACTTAAACAGTGAATTGCCGTTTTTTCATTGCTTTGTGTCCACTGCATAAAATTTCGCACCTGAAACATGAAAATTTTTGCGCTTTATTATCATTGTGTGACCAGTTTCCGTGAATATCAATGCTAATAATTCTCAGAACCAAAACTGAGAAGCGATTCCTCCGATTAATTCCCCGAGCCAAGGCTGAGAGGTAGTTCTTCCACAGGTATTAGTTGAATTACAGCTATGGTTTAAAACCAAGCACAGTAAATGCAAGTCTCACAAACAAATTTGTTTTTAATCTATTTTATTCTCAGCAGTTGATGAATACACTGCTGAATTCCTAATTATCTCCCAAACCAAACCAGCTCTTTGTAAGAAACCGTTGTTTTCGTACAAATTTGACCACTCAATACAGAACACCATCGGGAGTGGCGCTAATACATGCTAGGCAAGGTTGTACATTGACCTCTGAAATGCCTTGCCTTAACTAGCCAAAAGTAAGCGACACTGTCTTCTCCGCTTGTTTGAAACTTATCCGTACTTCGAGATCACCTAGCCGTTGTCCATTCCTACAATGTCCAGTGGGAATGCACAATCAATCACTTTATCTTAAAAATACTTTTAGAACTTTCAGCCAATAATTTCTGCCGTCTTATATTTACAACAGCAAATACTGTCATCTTTGTCATTTGGATATTTGAATTAATAGCATTATCCATGGCTGATTAATTAAATCAATAACTATTGCACTGATAAGCCATGAGCATCATGAATTATTTTCGACCATACAGATAGGAAATTCATAACATCTACGAGGATTAATATCATGAAAAAAAAAAACGATCTTTTCGAACTAATTTCGTATAAATGAAAGTAAAACAAGAAAATCCAAAAACCCGTTTATCTAATTTCCGAAATTAACAATTGATGGTGTAAATGGATACATTCACAGAGACTAAACGTGTTTATTTTGTTTTTTGGAATGACCAACCTTGTCTCGTTGAGCAGTTTTCAGTTTGTTCATGGCAGAATGGCTGAGTTTGGCACGCTTCAATGACTGAGCCACAGTGAAGGATTTTTAGGAGCAATTAGAATCGGTGAGAAATTCTGAAATTAATCAAATGAGTCTATGCTAGTACAGAAATGTAAGGAAGCATTCCCATCGTCACATCGCACCAGTGCTTTGCGGAATATAATCGAAATAATTCTAAAAGTTAAAATTGACATAGAGACATAAGAGGAGAGAAAGAAAGCTTTTAGTCTGTATTTTTCAAAGGCATTTCATTCAAGTGACGCTATTCGACGTGATTTATTCATTTACATGACTCGGTGACCTTTCTATATGAAACAAATTCAGACTCCAAAAAGTCATCTTTACTCAAATGTCGCGCAGTCCATAAAGTTGATGTTAATAAAAGGACACAGAAGTAGGGAGGAAAAACTTTCTAATCTTTCACAGCGAACTAAGAACATTCCACAGTTGCCTGTAACAATACCTACCAATGACCAACCAAACCCGAATTGACCTCTGACTCTCATCCCCCCACCAGTCCATTATAGTTGTCGCACATGTTTTTAATACGGCCTTTCAAATAGAATCGTTGCACGGGATAGCTGGAAGGAAGGGATGTTTCAGATATCAAGGGGGTTGCTAATGGCTGACCTTTTGGCAGGAAGAGATGGACTGTAAGGAAGCCTTGATGGAGATGGGACGATGGCGAGGAAGCTTAGATGAGATGTTGGCTTTAGCAGAGTCGATCAAACGGAATATCGAACACAGCGGTTGGGAAGAACGAATGCGTAACCTGCTGGATTATATCCATCAGTTGGATCGGGAAGCAACTATTGAGACTGAAGTGTTGAAGGAGATACAAGGTCACGGGAGCAGTGAAGTCATAGACACATCGCGAGATCGCTTCCGGAAACGGTTATTTTCTAATTGCTTACAAAGAAGCTTGAAGGATGCCAAGAAGTATTTATTACTTCATGGAATTTCGTAATGGAAATTCAAAGTAGTTGAGTTTAAAACTTAATTCGTTCGTTTTTAAGGATAGAAGAAATCGGTTGGGAACAGCCGAATAAACGAGGCGAAGCGGCGGATAGGATAGAGGCTTTGCGAATAATCGAAAAAGCGAACACAACTGCTACTGTTCAGGTGGAGAGAATTTATTATTCGAGAAAAGATCCCTACACTAAGCAGGACATCAAGGATCCAGTGCAGAATAAAGTATGTTGATCACTCTGTGACTTTTGTGACTGTTGGGGACTGTAAGCTATTGGCTACATATCACAGTATTATAACTGTATTCTTTTCGTCACGTACCACATCGCTGATTTTTCGCCATTCGATGCCGCTACCATTTGCCTGTATAATTAGCTTCTAATTCCGGAACTTTGGCTGTTGTAAGTTGGAACATTTTGTTATGTTAACTTCAGTTCAATTTTTTTTTTTTCAGATCTGCAAGCATGTTTATGATCGAGCATCGGTGCTAGCTAATATTGGCGAATGCAAGAAACGACGTCTGTTGTGTGAGTGCCCCGTTTCGGGTTGTACAAATAAAAAGGCCTTAACAATGACCGATATGGTGGCATTCCCGAAATTTTACGATTGTCTTAAGGATTAGTGTATATTTGATGACGTTGCTCGTATTTCTGACATTTGCTTGGACATGTCGTCTAATTAAGGAATTTGACGTTATAAAAATGAGGACTTTGTAGCTTTTATAGTCCATTTCTTGATAACCAAATAATTATGTCTTCATCTACTACTATCATTTCACTACCATTTTATCCGGTACGTTGATTTGCTAAAGTAAATTTATTTTGACATGCTTTTCGAAATGTTTTGTCATATTATTCGTTATTTGTCATTTCTCGAATTGCTTTTTCGTATTTCACGGACGATTCAGGTCTTTGACAATGAAAACTCTCATGAAAGGCGCTATCCAGGTTGTTGTACTTGGTAGCTTTAATAGTATTATATTATATTTAACTGCTTAGAATATTACTGCAAGTTTTCGTTTCTGTCCTTCACGCGGAAATTTTCGAAACGGGGAAAGGATGCGTCCTTCATGTCGACCTCAGAGTTTGGATGATATTTAAATTTTGTTCATAAAATTTTTCAATTCTCGTCTCGCAATTTCTCTGAAGTACCTGACTTTATATGTAAACTGGAGTTACAAACATAAATGGCTTTCCTCGGGATGCAAAACACGAATTAAGACCCAAATTTTCACGATGTTTCAGCAAACCGAGGAATGGTTTGCCGCATTTACTTGCCCAGTGAAAAACGATAGTAATGTCCTGTGGTTCCTTGTACATGTGACAGTGTCTGGTAGATATCTTTGGGGAGATGGTATGATTAACAATGAACTGCATAAACTCGGTAAAGAACCTGGATGGAAATGTTACTAATATTCAGCTGTTTGAGAACAGAACTTATCCTCTACAAATATACGAACGAATTGTCCATTTTCCGAATGTAAGAAGAAAATAAATGAATGACAGGTTTGCCAATATACTCGCGTTCGGATACAGTCCAGCGGATATCACTTAAAGTTGCACGTTTGGTTCATAACAGATTCCGTGAATTGAAAATTAATCTCACCTTATTAAAATAGAGATGTACGCGGGAAAAACAAACAAAAAATTCGGAGTTTATTCCACAAAACACATATATCTCTTATATATGATTTCAACTGGCGGTAGGTGTGTAGTGGAGTATTCGGTAAATGGTAACTTTGCTGTGGTATAGCGGGTAACCGTGAAACACCACTCGGAGGATCTCTTCCCGGCGTACATGTGTTCACAGGTCGTTAATGAGTTATTCCTGAAAAGCCCGCTGCATTATGTTAGAAAATAGACTCTCTTTTCCGTAAAAGATTGGTTTCCGCACTATAAACCAAATACGATAATGTTCCAGTATGTAGGAACAGTGCGTTTCATGCATTCACGTCAACTTAAATTATTAACCCTTTATTAAATTCGTCAATTTAAATTATTAACCTTGTATTAAATTCAGGATTGACCAGTAAAGCTTCATTTCTTTTAATACAGAATTGCATTTTCAAATTCACATCATCTTAGAATTTGTTCTTTCTTGATAGTGCATCATTTTTTGTATCCGTGTTCGTCTGCTCAACCCAATTTTACATTTCTTTCAAATTTGGAATCTGCTGAATTAACTATAGTTATTATGGTGTGGCTTTAGGAAACATTACAGTGGCAAGAGTAAGTCAGTGAGAACAATTAAGTGTTTCTCCCAAATCTTTGCAATTTCCTATGGGTCTCTTGCCATTCAAGGCTATTATCCATTCTCCTTCTAATGCTTTCTTGAAAAAACAACCGAAATTTCAATGTATCGCATCGTTCACTGTTAAACAGATCATGAGGAACGGGATCAGCAGTGGAAGAAAAACCATGGGTCCACCGGCAAAAACATGGATGTACTGACATGGACATAATGGAGATTGTCTAACTGTCACACATCTACTTCTTTGTTCACTCCGTTGAATGTATTCCATTTCAAAAGCCATTAAACTGACAATAATGGTTGCTGATCAAAAAATTCAGGAATTTTCCCCTTCCAAATGTAAGTAATAAGCACGAATGATGTAAATCTGTGCAAGGAGCTTGAGATTATGATCGTGTTAAAATTAATTGTGGCTTACATATAGCATAATTGTTGACCTTCAAAAAGGTCAAATCTGTGCTTCTTCCCGACCGAACCATCTGATTCTTGACTAATTAATTATTGACTATCGTTATTGGCTATCCAATGACTATTGTTAACTAAATATATTTATAGCTGTGTATTCCGTATTATTTTAAGATAATGTGTGTGGTTTTTTCATGTTGTGGTCGTTTGACACCATCAGTTGGCAAGTAGTTTATTCGTTGGGAATTGAGAAAAATTAAACACATGTATCTTTCATTCCTGAAGTATTAATTGCTTTTTTCTATATTTTGTACTTCATTTTTAGGTATTACATGATCGTGGAGACTGAGGATTTATAGAGTGGTTTTTCCAATGCAATGCAAAAAGAAAAATATCAAAATTTTGTCGCTGGATGGGGCGCAGGCTTTGTTGAAACTTTACTATTATATCCTCAAAATAAAGTGATATTTCGTCAGCAACTGCAGGGTGTTCCTGCAAAGGAAGTTTTTGAGCAGGTTGGTTCAGCTGGCTTCACAATTGGCTTAGAATGATACTTGCTTCATCCATTTACTTCGAAAAAACAATGAGTATATCAAAAATTGGAGTGATTATGCTTTGTATTCATGAGTAATTTGTAATGAAGTGCTTTTTACAACTGCATATTTCGAATATTTCGAATTTGAAACCACCAAATTCCGCTCTCATCATATCAATTTATGAATTACTGTCTTTTTAGATGTCATAAGTGTAAAGACAATTGTGTACTGGAGTATTTGGAATGAAATCGACATATTGTTAACTGAAGCAGTTGATATTTTATATACATGAATTATGGAATGAAGTTAAAAAATGGCTTATTTTCAGTTAAGAAATGAAGGTTATTGGATGTTATACAGAGGAATACTTCCACCTCTTATACAACGAACAACGACACGATCGGTAATGTTTGGAATGTTTGACAAATTTCATCGCTATTTTGGCTGTTCGGAATGTCAAACAGCGCAGACTCGTGTTGTATGCTTTGCATTTGCTGCATTTATGGGTTAGTCATTAGTAATCTTCATGACTTTGTATTGTTTGTGTCTTACGCTGCAGGGACAGGATTTGCTTTTGTTTCATTTGATTTTGCAGTTTTTTTTTTCGAAAGATTTTTGTTAATGTTAAGTAATAAGTTAGCACTCATCACTACTTAGTTGCAGATAGTTTAATGGTAATGTGTTCTATCAGATTTCGGTATTTTAGCAGGTGCGGTTGAGGCTATTACATGTCCACTGGAGCGAACGCAAGTCCTTTTGCAGTCACCGAAGTACAATCAGTGCTATCAAAATACAGTTCATGCTTTCAAAGAACTTGCTAAGGTTATTTAATTTTGTGTTTCTGCCATTTGTAGTTATTTTAAATACAATTTAAGATTTAAAAGAAGCGGTATTTATCATTCTGATTTGTCCAGTATGTCATCGTAAGGTAAGTGTATTAGTACTTTTTTCTATCAGTAACCATTAGCGGACATTATCTGCTATTTTTCTGATCTGGCGAAATGTAATTACTCTTTGCTTTTTGAAATCTTTATTTATTAACTTATTATGTTTTTATATGTTCCGGATTTGCGGAAGTTTTTGAAACAGTAAAACGATGGATTCTATCTATATTGCCTGCAGAGGATTTTTTATAATTCAAACAGGAGATTTGATTGTGGCACATGTAGAATTTGATTGTTATTCGTTTTAGATTGGAGCGAAAGAATTGTACCGCGGGTTCACAGTTGTATTGTTGAGAAATGGATCAAGTAACGTTCTTTTCTTCTCGCTTAGGAAACCATTCCGTGATTTAGTTATTAATTGTGATCAGCAGTACATACCTCGCTATATCAGCGATAGGTGAGTTTGTTTAAGGAACTGAAATTATTTAGTTCTCATTGTAAAGAAGGTAGCAATAAAATATTAATTTTTAGGACACCAAAACAGTTGGTGACATTTATTGGTGATTTCATATCGGGTGCTGTACTTGGTGCTTCTATATCATCACTCTTCTTCCCACTAAATGTAGTGAAACAGCGAATGCAGAGCACTGTAAACAGTCCGTTTTTATCAGCTTGGACAGTTTTTCAAGTTATTTGGATCGAACGGAATGGTTCGTTCCGGGAACTGTTTCGTGGAATTACTCTCAACTATACAAGGTATTTATGTTAATTTTCTTTAGAAATTTGTTACGCGTGTTGACATAAAGAATGATTTAGTACAAAATATCCTCATGTAACTTGTATGAGACTTCAATCGTGCATAAAAAGTATATATGGACTCATGTTGGAAGGGGAGTGTCGGGTTTTGGTAGTGCAGTGGTTATTCTGTGATGTATTGGTTGGGGTGTAGATGTTCGGTCCCTCCAGGCTCTCATTTCATGGCAATGAAGATACGTTGGTCCGTGTTTCCGACATGTGTATGACGTTATCTTAATCCCAGCATTCTGAGCCATGTGAGTGGGTGGGCATCAGAAGGGGTTTCGGTTCGCGCTTGGTTGGACGTTTGAACTCCTAAATTTAAGGCAAAACTGAAGGTTTGGGAAAGAGGGACGTTGATTCATTTGGCGAGTTTTGCGAACTTAATGTGTAACATGGTGGCATCCGTGGTAAGGATGCATTTTCATTATGGTGAATTTCAGGTCGCTATTATCATGGGGTATTACTAACTCTGTCTATGAGCTCCTTCAACATTTGTTTACAAAGTAAAGTTGTTGTTTTATCCTTAGATTGAATGTGTTTCTCTCTTTGTGATACTGTTTCTGTAATTGAACTATAAAATACTCTGTATGATTTTTGCTATTTCATTTTATTTCCTTTCAAATATAATTTGAGCTACACAAATGATATAAAGTTCTAGGAATTTTAGAACTTTCAACACTTTTCCGGGAGTTGTGTATGTACGAATCATTTACGAATCATTATTGGGACAAGTAATCTGCCCACAGACTTAATGCTATGTAGAGCGTTAAGTTTTTAACCTGTCCACAGTCTTTCGAAAAGACATTTAATGAGAATGAGTTAAATTTGGGTCGGTTCAAAAATATTTATACTGTTATATGATATCCACTTTTTGCTACATGTTATAGATAAGAGAATTTTTCAAGTTTCTCATCATTTTTTACGTGTATATATTTGTAAATCCTTTATTCTGATAAATCTTTATGTTAACGTCCTCAACGGGTAAAGACACGAAAGTCCGGTTTTCCTGTATTTCCATTAAAAATTCTTATGATTGTAGTTGTTCCCTACATATGTACAGAAAAATTTTCTTTTTGAATTTTCACTGTGTGGCAGTTGTTTCCATGAAGACTCTATATCTTAAATTGTCCTGTACTGATCATCTGTTTCAAGGAAGAGATTTTCTCAGAAAAGCTAGTGCTTGCAGTTTATTTATTTAGAAACTGCTTTTGTTGAACAGTTTACCATTGTTCTAAAAAGATCTCTAGTCACTGTCGTGGATTTGCTCACTGTCAGCATGCAATTACAGTGTTCTTTCATGCAGCGTCAAAGCTTGGAATGCATTTATTCTTTATTCTTTTATGCGAATATATAGATTTATTTCCGTTCATACTTCTATATTCGAAACATGATTTTTTTTCATGACTTGTCAGTGTCAGTAGTAGGCTTCCCACTGTAACCCTTTTTGTCTCGAAAGTATACGCAGCGTTTAGTTATTAGTACTTTTATCATATTTATTTATATAAATAATGAAAAAGGCGGAATTCCGAAAAGGCTATTGTTCATGACCTTGTCTGAATTATTGCCTTCCTTTAACTTAATTTTTTCCATTATGCCATTTAAAACATTCAAACCTAGAATTTCAGCTAGGTTATGTTTAATCTCCATGAAGCAATATTGCTGCTTAGATTATGGAGAGTGGATTTCTAAGGGAATTATGATATTATTTGAGTGTGTGGGAAATGAACTTTTATCAGTACAATAAGCCAAAATGGCGCTGAAACGTCAAGAAGTTCAATAACTCGTGGAGAAAGGAGGATTACATATCCAGTGAAGTGTTTTGATACTTATCCTTCATGAAATATTCATAGCAATTCATGAAATTCTCGGAGTTGATTAGAACTCAGCGGTGACTCCGGAGTCACAAGTACTTGAAGACCCAGCAAATTTTTAAGAGGAGACTCACTGGCAATGAATGCGCCACAAATATTTTTGAGAAGGCTTGTGGATAGTCTCGATTAACCCACTGAGTAAGGCCACTATCGATAATTCCTTCCATTACTGACTGTCAAAGTAAAGGATTATTTCTGCTGTCAATTTGTCCATTATATGGTTCCCATGGTGACTCGTCCAGTAACTCACCCGTTTCTGTTTTCTTTCTTCGCTCCTACAATTCATTTATGATCTAACTGTGACTTTACTTAAATCATATGAATTTCCTAAGTCTAAGTTGTGCTAGACTGTACCAAATTACGCTATTGCCAACACCTATCACTGTTATATAATATGCATAAGTTATCCCGTTTGACATAATGTTAAGGATTTGTTTGTGATGATTAGAAATTTCTATTGCAGTCAGTCAAAGTTTTCAACAGAGATTCCTGTATATGTTATAATTGGAAAGGAAGAAGAGAAAGTAAAAAACTGCTTCTTTCAATGGACCTCTTATAAATGCAAGGTGGACATAATTTTATTTTGGCTGGCATACGAAATCTGTCTAGAGCAATGGTGGGCAATAAATTTGTCCAAGAAGTCACATGAGAAATTGGAATTACCGTATCCGTCGTATACATGTACGTATATATATACTATTCTTTCATAAAAAACAGTAAATAGAATACTGTGATGGATTCACTGAAAATGTGGAGGATCTAATTGCATCATTATTTTTAATGTTCAGATGATGAACTTGTGATGAAAGACCAATGGACTTTAACATTGAAAGATTTTGGCTGGCATACCAATTTATGATATGACAAATGAAAAGTAGATAAAAACTTGGGGAATCACTACATAAGAGCAGCATTGATTGAAAATTGTGGAAAAAACAAAACAAAACAAAGATAGATTGTATTCAAAAACACCAAACTGGACATTCCCAACTGAAAAAGAAAAGGAACCTGGTCAATATATGGTCAGATACTAAGAAAACAAAGTGGAGAAATGGAATTGAAATGAAAAGAAGAGATAAAG